AATAGGAGGAACCATCAGAAAGAGGAAACAAAACTCAACAGAAGAGGAAAAAAAATAGCATTTCAACTTCCATAGCTCTTTCTTTGAATGTGGATAGCATTTTCCACCACAAGGCCTTCGGAGATGTCTTAGATCCTTGTATTGCCAGGAAGGGTTAAGTTTATCAGTATTAGTCATCGCATAATGTGGCTGTTATTGTGTACAGTGTTCTCCTGGTTCTGTTCACTTCACTCAGTAGAGTCTTGATCATTTTAATGATGTTTTTGTCACTTGGATAAGTGTTGGGTGGTATCTCCTTCATGATGTCTCATGGTGGTGTGGAAAGGACATCCTGGGTCCTAGAAGGTTATGCCAACAGAATATTAAATTCAAGTCCCAGCAACAAATGGAATTCATGTCCAAAGGACTGGTTCAACGTGGAGAGACTCATTATGGGTATGTCACCCACTTGGTAATGAATCTTTTGGTCAAACAAAAGATGAACTCATTAAAAAATCCCAAATGTGGTAAATCCTGTGGTTTCCTCTTCTGCTTGTACAGGGACAGTGGCTGAGTGGGTCCAGTGGACAAAGGGGGAGGGGATGCTAAGAACCCTATCATTTTAATTTTGTCAATAAACTTAATCTTAACTGTTGATATTCTGAAGTGTGAGTTCCTCATCCACTGATCTACCACTGGGAATGTTCCTGGAGGTACTGAGTTATATTCCTCTTGACATGTTTTCTGTAAATGAAACAATAAGAAAGAAGAAAGTTTCAGATTGCTGCTCAATGCTCACTTAGCAATAATAGCAAATATTCATATAGTGCTTTAAGCTTTGTAAAGTACTTTCCCTAAATTATTTCATTTGATCCTCACAACAATCCTTAGAGGTATGTGCTATTATTATCCACATTTTACAGAGACCTAGAGAGGAGTAGTGACACGTCCAGGGTCACATAGCTAGTAAGTATCTGAGGGAGAATTTGAATTCAACTCTTCCTGACTCTAGGTCTAGTGTCCTATATGCTAATCCACCCAGCTTTCTCTAAAGTAAACTTATATGTATGATGTAGATTCTAATATAAAGAGAGGCATGCAGGAAGAGCATCCCCAAGAAATAGTTGACATGGAATGCCAAAAGTACATTTCAAATAGATGAGCTTTATTTCTGCATGCTGCCAACTTCATACATCCTTCATGCTTTATATAAGGGGTGATCCCTGAAGAAGCAGGAATATGTTTAAATATCTCAGAAATTGTTGACCTTCTTAAATGTGAAATACAGAAAATTAGAGCCTTTTCAGAAGGACATGCACAGAGATGTGATGCTGCAGAACTATGAGAATTTTATTCCTGATAGAAAATTGTTAATGGCAATTGTAATATGGACTGCCACAACCTCTTAATTATCCTAGCAACGTCAAAATTATAGTAATGTCCTTACATTCCTACCCTTAAGATAATGATGATTAGGTTGAGCCAAGCCACACCTTAAGCACCCCCCCCGGAATCTTTAACTCTGAGGGTCTTCCCCTCCCAAATTAATTCTTTTGTGAAGGCAAAGTAAGCCATCTTTTGCCTCAGTTCTTACCTAGCCTTTAATTACTGATGGGTGTTGCCTCAGACAAACTGAGACCTGTTAAAGACCTTACTTAAAAAGACCAAGGTCTCCCACTGCATCTGGGGCCATCTCTAGTCATCCTGATCTACATCTTGCCACTGGACCCAGATGGCTGTGGAGGAGGGAGTGAGGCTGGTGACTTTGCACAGCACTGCCTCACTTAAATCCAATTCACTAAAAAAGTCAGGACATCATCTTCAGAGAAATAGCAACAACAAAAACTATCTGTGGAGTCTCACAAACAAAAAAAAAACACCATAAAGAAAAGCAAATTGTAATGAATTAAGAATTCTGATTAATGATCCTTAGGTCAAAAGGCCAATTTTAATGGGACTCTCTCCTCATTGATGAAGAATGATTATTCAATGCCCCATACTTTCTGAGTGGTGGAGTTGGTGGGAGGAGGAATGAAGAGAGATACAGGGCTCTTCTGGCTTCCAATTTAGAGAAAAAAGATTCATGAATCCAAACTCTCTTTATGTTGTGATGGGAGAGAAATGCTATGGGAAAAGCCAGGGTGAGATGACCTAGCAGTCTCTAGCATGTCCCTATCCATAGCTTACTACGATAGAGATTTCTGAGAATTTTCCCTTAGGTGAGATCTAGGACTCTCTCTCGGTTGAGCTGAGTTACTTTGTGTATTCTCAAGTAAATAGTCTCCTATGCTTACTTTCTCTCATTCCTGTTTTGCTATCTGCTTCATTAAATGGGTTTCTTTACTACTTGCTACATGTGTTCATCATAGAATTGGTGGGAAGCAGGTCAAATCTTGGATGTAAAATTTGGTACACTCCTTTCCCACTTAGGAATAGGGATTAGGAGTTTGTCTTGAACCTAAAAATTGCTTCTCCTAGACTAACAGTGTTTAAGGGAGCAGATAGGTATAATTCTAGCCTGTACCCCATTCCTCTGAGGAGAGCAGAGTAGCCAGCCTCCTATCTCCTATCTCCTGATAGGAATCAAAGTTTCCCTTGGACAAGGGTAAGGGGAGGAGACACTAGCAATGTCTGTTCTTGCCTCCCTATGAGCCACACCTTTAGACAGACCCATGTGGATATCACAAACTACATGGGTGAAATAGCACCCCTATACCACCTTCCTTACAATGCGTAATTCCAACATGGTGAGTCAGAGGTTTAGCAGGTTATGGTGAACCCTCACTAGTCAGAAGAGTTCTGCTTCACGGTATTATCAGTAAAGAACTATATGGAACTGACACAAAAGAAATCACAGAATACGTAAGAGTAAAGAGAAGCAGAAAGGTCATGTCTAAAACACAAAGGATAATCAATGGATAGTTGGAATATTCCACCAGTAGTGATTAATATCAAGCTATCTAGGGGCAGCTAGGTGGTACAGTGGATAGAGCACCAGGGCTGGAATCTGGAGAAACTGAGTTCAAATCTAGCCTCAGATACTTACTAACTGTGTGACCCCAGGCAAGCCACTTATCCCTTGTTGGCCTCAGTTCCTCATCTGTAGCTGGAGAAGGAAATGGCAAATTATTCCGGTATCTTTGCCAAGAAAACCCCACATGAGCTCATTAAGAATCAGACACGACTGAAAACCACTCAACAACAACAAAGCTGTCTAGAGGAAGGCCCTCAGTATGTTGAATGAACCCCCTGTGAAGGATTTATGAGAGGGCGAGGACTAAAGTCACACAGAATAAGAAGGCTTAGATGGTCTCCATCTGCACCAGTGGATGGAGTAATCCCACTGATAACATCTCCAACCTACTTAAGCATTCACAGATATACATAAAAATAATTCTTTATAGAATAAATTACATAATAAGAATAACAAATTATTCTTTATAGATTTATATTTTTCAATGAAATATTATACTGATCCTAAATGTGGAGGGAATATCACTTCTTCCATTGCTGTGATACTCAAGAATTTGCCGGGGACAAAGTTAATGCATTAAATTGCACAAAATAATGTGTCTTCACAACTAAAAGCAATAAAAAGATCAAAAGAAAGCAATGAAATCAGAGAAATGCTTCCTGATATGTGGGACCAATGAGGGAGAAAGGAGTGCTAGCAGGAGTAGAAAGAGGCAAGCAGGACGCAGGATGTGAGATAAGAGGTGAGATGCAGGCTGCGATCAGCCAGAAAAGTGATCCAAGAAGATTATGCATTGAAGCTCCCCACCATGGACTTACCTGTCCACCTTACCTGATATTCCAGAACTCTCCTCCTCCCCCTTTCTATCTCCTTGCTTATCTATGTGACAAAGGCACCTCCAGACTACCTGATATCCCTGATATCCCCTCCTCCCATTCTCTAGTCACCCTTCCCCCATTCCATAAAATTGTATTTAAACCAGACCTTTAACCTGGCACCTTTGCCTCCTATGGGAAGCAGGGTCACACTGCCTCCCTTAGGGGAGCAGGGCCTGCTGCCTATGCACTGTCTCTCCCAGGCCTGCTCTGGGCAGTTTGGCAGGATTTTAGTGCTCCACTAAACCAGCCCTCTAATCAGTTCAGTCTTTTCAGTCATGTCTGACTCTTTGTGACTCTCTTTCGGGGTTTTCTTGGCGGAGATACTAGAGTGATTTGACATTTCTTTCTCCAGCTCATTTTACAGACAAAGAAACTGAGACCAACAGGAATTAAGTGACTTGCCTAGAGTCATACAACTTGTAAGTGTCTGAGGCCAGATTTGAACTCAGAAAGATGAGTCTTCCTGATGTCAGACCAGGCATCTCAAGAGTAGGAATGCAAGGACATTACTAGAATTCTGAAATTATTAGGATTGTTAAGACGAGTGGTAGGTAATATGTAATTTTATATTTGATGTTAACAATATTTCTGTTACCTGCCTAATCCAAGTGCCTAATGATTGAGCATTGCCTAGATCTGACTCATCAATCTTCCTAGTCTGCATACATTCTTCCTGAGTTTTGGAAAGGACTGCCTGGCACAGCAGGAGCTTAATAAATATTTATTGAGTGACCGGCTACTCAGACCCCTGGAAATAGGGGGTGGGGTGGGGGAGGGAAGGCACGGAGGAAGGATGCGTCTGGAAGATCTTTCTCTGGAGTGAAGAAAACTGAGATTCTGATGGTATATTATACTTGGGCAGAGATGGCCAAGTCCCTCTCTCTCTCTCTCTCTCTCTCTCTCTCTCTCTCTCTCTCTCTCTCTCTCTCTCTCTCTCTCTCTCTCTCTCTCTCACACACACACACACACACACACACACACACACACTGCCTCAGTTTTCTCATCTGTAAGATGAGTACTTGGGCAGAAGGATGACCTCTGAGCTCCCTTACAGCGCTAGATCTAGTGAGATCACTCATGCAATGCGCTTTGCAGTAGGGCTATCTATGATCTGAGGCTCGGATCCTGTGACGTCATTCTTTGCCGGACTGAGCACTAGGGGCTGGACACTGAGTTCCTGGAAGCACCAGAAACATCTGCTGGTAAACGGGGTATTTATTTTGCGTATGTTTTACAGTCACTTCTCTATATACCCCGGTTTTACCTCTCCCTCCCACCTCCCAACGTCAGAAGCGCCTTGAGGGCAGGAACCGCCTAGGTTTAGGCTCCGTACCCCCTGCGCTAGCCCACGCTGTAGGTGCTGAACAGAGGCCAGGTTAAGGCTGGGTGAATTGGACTGGCTTGTGCGCCTGCGCGCCAGCCCCAAGACTACAATTCCTAGCACCGAGGAACTCTCGGGGTCCGATGGACCCTAGGAAGGTCCACGCTGACTCTGAGCAGGCGCAGTTGGGGAGATGTCTATTTCAACCCTTTTCCTCGGGATTTAGGTGGAGGTGGAGCGACGCTGTCCGCCACGTGGGTAAGTGTCAGTGAGAGGGAGTGCTCTCAGCATAGGGCAGCCCAGCCAGAAAGACAGAACCTCGATCTGGGGGGCGGAGGGAGAATGGGGGCCCAAGGGACCTGGGTTCAAGTTCTGCTCCTGAGGCTATCGGGCTGCATGACCTGTGCAAGTCACTTGAGCTCCTTTTTTCCTCAGCTGTTAAAAGGGGGTGGACTGCTACCTGAGAACTGGCCGCATCCAGCATTTAATAAGCACTTACTGTGTGCCAAGGACTGGACTCTTCGAGGAGCAATGAAGATGTAAATAACTACACAATAAGCATTTATTAAGCGCCTATAGAAGAAGGCAAAAAGAGACCCTACCCTCAAGGGTCTCAGTCTGATGGGAAAAATAGCAGTGGCATCTTATTCAGGCAGGCAATGGTTAAAAGGGGGGGGGGACTTGGAGTCAGGAGAGTTGTGGGTTCAAATGCCCACTCTGACACATTTCTGTGAGCATTGATGATAATATTAATTAATTATAAAGACATTTAAAGTTTTGTAGGGCATTCATTTGATCTTTACAACAACCCTGAGAATTGAGATGCGATTGTCATCCCCATTTTTCAGATGGGTTAAGAGGGATGGGGAAGAGAATAAATATGTATATAATGCCTGCCCTGTGTCAGGCACTGTGTACTAAGTGCTTTTTACAGATATCTTATTTGATCCTCACAAAAACCCTGAGAAGTAGATGCCATTATTATCCCTATTTTTTGCCTAAGTTAAAGGGGAATAAGTATTTATATGGGTCCTACTATGTCTGTGCTAAGTGCTTTTTACAAATATTATCTCATTTGATCCTCACAACAAAACTGTGAGGTAGGAGTTATGATTATCTCCATGTTTTTACAATTGAAGAAACTGAGGCAAACAGGTAAAGTGACTTACCAGGGTCATAGAGCTAGTCAGTTCTTTGTGAATTATGGTGCTGAAGAAAAAAGTAGTCAGCCAGGTGACTACTCCTTTCTAAACTTAGCTACAGCGGGTCCTGTTTGAAGCCTTGCCATCCTGGCAGAATTCTGCTGATGATGTGTGTACATATACGTAGAGAATGAAAGAGAACTTTTGTTCTTGGGAGGGATACAAATGGGCATCAGAAATGTCCTTTCAAACTGGAAAGGTTTCTGGTGATCGACTCTATAGCTGTCATTCAAGGAATGGCCTGGCTAAGTGCAGAAATCAGACTGGACACAGGGCAATCTGTTTTTTTGGTGAAAGACACTCTGAGACTTCATACCAAGTCACAGAGAGATTGTGATCTGCATCTGTAGAGGGATTACCCCCCAACCAATAAAATGGTGGTTCTTTGAAGCTTGAAACAATGTGTACATGTGTATGTGGATACATATGCATTTATCACTTATAAATGATCATAGAAGACTTAACTTTTAGATCTGGAAAGGAACTTTGTTGTTGTTCAGTTGTATACAACCCTTCATGACCGCATTTGGGACTTTCTTGGCAAAGATACTGGAGTGGTTTGGCCATTTCCTTCTTCAGCTCATTTTGCAGATGAGAAAACTGAGGCAAACAAGGTTAAGTGACTTGCCCAGGGTCACACAGCTGGTAAGTGTCTGAGGCTGGATTTGAACTCAGGTCTTCCTGACTCCAAGCCCTGCACTTTATCTACTGCACCACTAGTTGCCCTAGAAAGGAACTTAGAGTTCTTCAAGTCCATTTTACAGAAGAAACTAAGACCTGGAAAAGTAATGTAACTTGGCCAGGGTCACACAGCTAATGAATGACAGATCCTACTAAGGTGGGATTTAGATCCAGGTCTTCCAGACTTTTACTTTTCTCTCTCTCTTTTTTCCTCTTTCTGTCTCACTTTTTTTTTCACTATTTTATCTCTCAAAGTATATATCTACGTATAAATGTATGTGTATGGGTTTTTGTAACTAAAGATCTAAATATGACAATAACTTTTGTTTGCTGACCCCTGCCTTAGATGATGAGTTCTTTTAGGCACCAAAGGTTTTGTATTCAATATTTGCTATTGTTATATTATATTCCATTATTGATATATTATATGTAATATTTGAATAAGTGCATGTGTGTTTGTCCAGGCCCTCAAGGTGATGTTGCATGTCTCAGCACCCTTTGGTAGAGTCTGTGGGGTGCTCTTTGGAGCACTCGAACCCGTCCTCTATTGGTACTAGTAGCAGATCAGCCCTGGGATGCAAGAATCCATTTTACCATAACTCTCCCATCATCCCAAGACTTGGGAAAAGTGAGAATATCAAAGAAATCACTGAATAGGGGATGACTTTGGAGGGCCATGACCTTCAAGAGAAAGGTAAGAAGTACAGAAGTGTCAAGCTGGGAAGAGGGAGGGAGGAACAAACTTTGCCAGGTCTCGACTTGTCTTCCATCACAGTCGGCCTGCGGGACATCTCCACCTGACTGTCCCAAATGAAACATGTCCGAATGGAACTCCCCTCTTCCTCACCCCTAGAGGCAGCCATACCTTCCTGTTGTTAATAACCTTGGAATCATCCCCTCCCTCATCCCCACCTCCACTCCCACAGTGTCCATTCATTGCCTGAGTCTTATCAGTTCCACCTCTATAGTATTTCTTTATTTTTAAATAATATTTCCCCCCAATTACATGTAAAAACAATTTTTAACATTCATTGAGTTTTTTTTTTAAGTTTTGAGTTCCAAATTCTATCCCTGCCTCCATTCTTCCCTCCCTGAGACAGTAAGGACTTATGATGAAAAATGCTATCATCCTCAAAGAAAGAAGTAATGGTGTCTGAATATAGATTAAAGCATACTTTTTTTACTTTATTTTTCTTGAGGTTTTTTTTTGTCTATGTTTTCTTTCACAACATGACTATTATGGAAATGTTTTGCATGACTACACATGTATAACCTATATCAAATTGCTTGCCTTCTCAATGAGGATGGGTGGGGAGAGAGAAATGGAGAGAATTTGGAACTCAGAGTTTTAAAAATGAATGTTAAAAATTGTTTTTACATGTAACTGGGGAAAAATAAAATAGTAAATAAACAAACAAAAGAGCAAGTTCATTTAAAGCAATGTTAAATGCCTAAAACATTTGAGATTTAACCTATGAGGACATTCTAGACTTTTGTAACTACAACTACAAAGTATGCTTTACAGAAATGAAGACTTAAATAATTAGAAAGATTGGCTGTTTATGGTTAATAAAATAAATATGACTTTACTACTTTAATTTATAAATTTAGCGCTATAACCAATCAAACTGCCATAGGATTACTTTATAGAAATAAACCAAATAATAACAAAATTCAGTGGGTAAAACTAAAACTCAAGACTCTCAAGGAAAATAATGGGGGAAAAAGTAAGAATGAGAAAATCAGAATCCTTAAAAGTAATTGATACTGATTTTTTTTAAGTCTGAGGAATGGTTTAAATAAGAAGATCCAAGAACAATCAAATATAGCAGTCCAGTGCTCAGTAAACCCAAGAATACGAACTAGTAGAGAAAGAATTTTGGGTTTGACAAGAATTGCTGAGAAACCTAGAAGGCAAATTGGCAAAACCCAGGCTTAGACCAACACCCTATACCATATACCCTCAAAAAGTTACAAACAAAAATGCAACCTAAGTATAAAAGGTCACATCATTTTTTTAAAAAAAATTGGAAAACAGTAGATATCTTTCAGATCTATCTTTGAAGGAAAATATTTAACCTATCAAGAGATAAAGGGGATCATAAAATATAAAATAGTATATTAAGATTTTATAAAAGTTTTGCTTACATATGGTGCAGCTAGGATAGGAAGAGGGCAGCTAGGGGGTACAATGGATAGAGAGAGTGCCAGTCCTGGAGTCAGAAGTACATGAGTTCAAATCTGGCCTCAGATACTAGCCTGTGTAACCTTAGACAAGTCACTTAACCCTGTTTCCCTCAGTTTTGTCATCTGTAAAATGAGCTGGAGAAGGAAATGACAAAGCACTCCAATATCTTTGCCAAGAAAATCCCAAATGGGCGCATCAAGGGTCAGACATGACTGAAATGACTGAACAACAACAAAAAGATAAAAGGCACTATCAATTAGATTTTTTTTACTTTCTACCTACTTATTTCATTACCCTAGTAGTCATTTTCATTCTGTCCCATCCAGTCAAAGAATACAACAAATCAACTCTTTATCCTGTGAGCCATGAGGAAATATTTTTTCTCCTTAAATGAATAAAGCACTTGAGTTACCCACTCAATAAAACATCATATATAAGAGGAAGTGTTGTGAATTTAATCCTTATGTCCTAATTGTCCTCCTAGATCTCCGATCCTTGGAACTTACTATGAGCAAAGGAATGGGTTCTTCAGTGCCAATATCCATGAGCCCTTTCTCCAATTCTAGGAAAAGGTGCATCTGCTCTTGGCTTCCTTTGACCTCTCCCTCTATAAGGATCATGGGACTCCCACCTAGATGGTCTGTTGGGAATTCTATCTTTGTGAATTTGGGAGGTATAAGTAGGACCTTTTTTCATCATAACTTTTTTTTTCCTGTTTCAGGGCTGCCATCTTGAGACTCTACCCTTTACCAAAAAGGGAGAATTGAAGAGGAAGTGACTTCTGGACTCCTAAGAGCCTTATCTCAGGTGAATTGAGATTTCCTTTCTTTCTTGAAGTATAGTCTGATTTTTCAATCCATGTTTCTTTCCTTTTTCCGTCTTCTTTTGTGTTTAGCCAAGGCCCTGAACATCAGTTGTCCTCCCTCCAAAGACTGTTTCTCTTCTCACAAATAATAGTAGGATTCTTAGAGTTCAAAGATCGTTAGAGCTTAGCCTAGCTGTCTATGCTATGCTCATAAGTGGCTGGACGTGGGCTAGAATTAGACTAGAACTCAAGCTCCTGACATGTAAATCATTTTTCTTTTTTTTTATATCATGGTGCTCTCTAGGAAATTTTCCTACAGTCTGTTCTCTCTTCCTGTTGAACGTTTATTCATACATTTGATTCAACCCACTGTATATTCAGTATTGAGCTAAATGTTGTGAAGCAAACCAGTATAAATCTTAATTCCTATCTTAAACACAATCTTATTGGGATAGTAATAATTATAATTATTATTGTTGTGTCTGAAAATGTTAGATAACAGTATGAAAAAGTAGGTTTTTTTAGGTGCCTAAAGGAGAAGACAATAAATGTTATGTGATGGAGAAGAGAGTGATCAAGGTAGGCTTCCTGAAAGAGGCAAGATTGGAATTGGGATTAAAAGATGGGTAGAATTTGAGTAACTGGAGAGCTGTGTGACCATGAGCAAATCACTGAACATCCATGAGCCTCAGTTTCCTCATCTTTAAAATGAGGGCATTCAGCGCAATGAATAGAGCACCAGCCCTGGAGTCAGGAGGACCTCAGTTCAATTCTGGCCTCAGACACTTGACACTTAACTAGCTGTGTGACCCTGGGCAAGTCACTTAACCCCAATTGCCTCACCCAGAAAAAAATGAAGGAGTTAGACTAGATGGTGTGTGATTTACCTTCCACCTCTAAATATGACCTATAGACAGGAGAAGCCAAAGCTGAAAGCAACATGAATGTGTCACCCCTAGGAGCCTGTAAGAAGCCTGGCTAGAGTGGAAACTTCTTTGGAGGAGTGGTGGGGATTTTTTTTTAATAGACTAGATCTAGTTTTATCCATGTAGGATGAAATGACACGAATGAATGGGTGAAACTATCTACCTATGAAGATCAGTGATTGCTCTGTAATTTCTTGTCTTAAAGAGTTTCCTTGGGTGCTGAGAGGTTAAATGGTGTACCCAAGATACATAGTCATTACATGCCTGGGAAGGAACTTGAACCTGAATCTTCCTAACTCAGGCTGGTTCTCTATCCACTGTTCAGTGGCTTTATCTCAGGATAAAATTTTATAAATAAGGTGGTATCAAACTTCAGAAGTCCTTAAATACCTCTGAGAGGACTTTGGATATTACTCTTAGACAACTGAGTCCTATTCCCTGCCAGTGCAGCACTTTCTCTACTATATCATTTAATCCAATAAACATTTTTTAAAACATCTGCTATGTGCCAGGCACTGTGCTAAGCACTGAGGATACAAAAAGAGGCAAAAGACAGTCCCTGCCCTCAAGGAGCTTATAATCTAATGGGAGGGCAACATGCCACCAAATATATACAAAGCAATCTACATACAGGAAAAATATGAAATAATTAACAGAAATAAGGCATTGGAATTAAGAGGGGTTGGGGAATGCTTCCTGTAAAAGAAGGGATTTTAGTTGGAACTTAAAGAAAGCCAGGGAGCTTGGTAGTCAGAATGAAGGAAGGAGACCATTTCAGGCATGGGGGACAGCACGAATTTCCCTTTCAGAAGTCTAATAAAATGGACTTCAGCTGTTCACACTGTTAGTCTAGGGGCCCTGCAGATGGTCCAACCATGGGCCATAGGCCTACTTGAGCTGAGTCAGCTCCCTAGAGTAGCCTTGCCTCCTCTTGGGACTAATCCACACAACTTTTGATTCTGGACCTTGGGCTCTCATCTTTCCCTCTTTCCTAAGCTATCCCTGAACCCCTGAATCAAGGTGCCAAGCTTTCTGACCTTTCATCCCCAAGTTCAGAACTCTATCATACACATCCTTTATTACTGGCCCTCTTAAGCCATCAGACTCACTCGATCAGTTCTCCCAAGGGACAAATTCCTTCGGTCTTACGGGGTCCATCTCAATGATTCTCCTTATTCTTGGAAATCTAGAACCATTTGTCTTTGTATTTAGTTTTGGTTGTAAGAAAACCCCAGGGAGGGAAAAACCTACTCTTCCATTATAGAAATGGGGGAAAAGAGAACGTGAGGAAGTAGTGGTTAGAACTGGATGTATTATTGTGTCAGTTACACAATGATTAGATATAGCTTGGGTGCTACTTATGTCTGAACTCCTGGGCCAAGGAAGGTCAGAAGACTTTCTGTCAGATTTCTCTCTAAAACTCTTATATACCACCAAAGGTATATGTATGTACATAACTCTTTCCCTACAACCCCATCAACATTGTGTTTCATCATGTTTATTCCTTTTTGATACCTTAAAGAGTATGTGATAATGCCGCTTATGTTTTCATTTTTATTCTTTTCATAATTAGTAGTGCTAAACATTTTTAAAGTGTTTGCTTACCATTTGTATTTCCTCTTGTGTGCACTTTGTTCATACCCTCTGGCCTTTTGTCCTTTGGATATCTACTTTTGACCTCATAGACTTGTACCAATTCCCTATGAATCCTTCAACTGAAGCTTTTAGACAGTCTGTTTCTCCCAAATCATTTTCTCAGTTCTTCTGCATTTGTTTACATCTAATTATTGCTTTTCATGTGATGCAATGAACCTCTGACTTACTTGCCAGAAAAAGATGATTGCCAGAGGCAACACCAGATTATAATATGAGCTCATTTATAAAATCTCACAAAGAAGGATGATAGACAGTTATGAGCAGTATCATCTCATAAATCAGAAAGCGTGTAGAGCAAAACCAGTTTAAAGAATGCTTGGCAAGATAGACAACTAAACAAAGTCATAACAGGGGTATTTTGGGGATGAAAATGAAAAAAGGACAACAAACAGAAGAAAAATGGAAAAGATTAGTAAAAATTGTTATAAAAAATTTTTTCACCATCAGGGAGTTGCAACTGCCACATTTGAATTTTAAAGTAGGGCAGTAGAAATGGCACTAAAGATGATAAAGATGCAGAAAACAGTTATCTTGGACCAAATATATACAGAGGCAGTTCGTTCAAGAAGAGACACAGCTGTAAGGGTTTGAAGGACTGATGTACACAGTATCTGAAGTAAGAGACAGTGCTGCAGGCATGGGAAAATTCTCATCCATTTATACCAAAAGGTTTCTGAGAGAACATCAATGACTACTGACCTATGTGTTCCCTCTCCATTGTTCCAAACTCTTGATGAGATTCATCCGTACGTAAATTGAAGGAGTCTTCAGTATGGGTATTAGCAGGGAACAAGTAGACTTTCACAATCAGTCGTCAGCAAAGGGCCACATCTTTTGCCTTTCACAGTTAACTGAAAGAGAAACATAAACATAAGATCCCACCCTGCTTATTGTTTGTTGATTACCCCCCTACCAAAAAAAAAAAAAGTTTGATTCAGTAGAACAAAATGGTACCTTACAGTCCCTTTCGCAACAGGATGTCCATACATCAAAATCATTCAAGATTCTTTGAAAGATATCACAATGGAAGCATCTTGTTCTATGATGCTCTGATTATAAATGTACTATGGATACTTGTCAGAGGTGTTTGCCACTGTGATGGAGACCCAGTATAGAGGCCAAGTGAGTGACCAGTGACGGCCTCCACATGCTCCATTTTGCTTAGGAAATTGTGCTGGTTTCCTCTGACCCAGAAGATCTTTTGGAAGAGATCTATAATCACCCAAAGGCATTTGACCTGACTGCTGGCAGGAAATGCTACAAGAATGGTATTTCATCCACATAGGGAAATACCGACAGGATGAAGAATGTCTATTACCCAAATTAATACATATTCTGAGGCATCTCGGCCTCAGAGGCACAAAGCAGAATCACAGCAACACTGACAAAATGTGACATGCACAAATCTAGAAACCCCAAATGTTCAAATGGATTATTTGTGCCCAACCTGTGGTGGAGCCTTCAGAGCTCATTTTGGACTGATCAGCCAGTCACATTGTACCTTGACCCCGACATCGCAATGTCATTGGTTCAACAATTCATCCTCCCATTAAAATCTTCTACTGTACAAACATTCAATATACTGGGGTCTTCCCATAGACCTTTCAAAATTGGGTATATGCCAATGGACCCCACAGGCCCATACATTATCACTTGCTCTCACTCCATTAGCAGCCCACATCATTTTGTAGTCATACATCTCTTCAATGACACCCTTTATGACAGTCCTGAGCAGCTCTTCATAGCTAATATGCTACACCCTATTCACCCTGACTATGGGCCTCTGTATCTTTAATTCTCTAGAACCTGATATTCCGTAAGTCAGAGCCATATAGCATCACCAGAATTAATATTGCTATTTTAAAAAAGATGCATCTTTGTTTTAGGCAGAAATTCAGCATCATTAAAAATTCTGCACTCTTTGCCAAATACCAAATACAGCCCACTTCTCTACCTTTCCAATTCTGGTCCCAGTTCATTGTTGCTCAGCCATCTTTGTCTAAGATATATGTATCAATGGACCAGCTATGTGGGCTGTCATTGTATGGACTATAAACGTTATTTACTTGGTTTTTCTTTTGCAATTAAGTCAAACTCTTTTCAGTGTTCACACATCTTATTTAGGAGGCTTTGCAATGCTGTGGAGCTTGATATCAGCCCAATGTTGCTTGTAAACAGAAGCATCTGGACGACCTCCCCACCACCACCAACGTGGGAAACCCTCTTTCACTTGGACTCTGTGCAGGACATCTTCAATGATGGTGGCAGACCCTTTTCATGAATACACATCTCCCTTTTTTGTGCCTCATTTATTTTAAATCTCTGTTGAATCTTTCAAGGAAATCTTGTATGATTTAAATGGAGTGGAGCCAAGCTGGTGGAAGCCATACAGTGTGTTTCTCTCCAAAAACTCCTGACTA